AGAAAAGAATGGAAATTAAATTAACAAAATGAAAACTCAATAGCAATTAGTCCACACAACTTTTCAGTATTTTTTTCTTTTCAACACTATTTATGTTTCTAATCTGTGGTAATGCGAGTGAACAATGTATTGCTTATATTATTATTCTAAGTATGCATGATGGTTTCGCCGACGTTTTCACTGATTAAAAAATCCGAATGGCACTGTGAGCCCACTTGTACTTATGTCACCTGGTCACCTGGCGATTTTCGGACAAAAGCTGCTTCACTCTAATACTTAATGAAGAAATTTAGCAGAAATGGTGAATGATAATATTAACTTATGAAATAATTAACGCCATCACCAATTACAGTGGCAATTAATCCATTTCGTAAGTTATATAAGAAGAAAGACGATTGGTCCAGTACCATCCGCACCATCCCACAGTCATTAATAACAGATTTTTTTCCATCAGACAGCAAAAATCGAATTCATATTCGAATTCACTTGCTCTCGACCATAAGTTCCTTGTCTTAACATATTTCTTCTATCTCTTCTTCTTCAGCTCTCTGCATTTCTATTTAGGCTGACTTCATTGACTACAAAGGTAAATGTCACCAAGCTGTTCGATTGGACGCCATCTGCCATTATAAGAAGCCAATCCTTTTTCCATCGTCTAAATCAATATATATATATATATATACAATATATATTTATCGTTCACTCATATGTTTAAAATCTTTCCTAACTGTCCAGGTTTTGATAGGTCTTTCTCGTTTTTAGCGCCATCACAAAGTTTAATGAGTAATGAAATATGTGGCCTGTGGTGAAAGACAAGAAACATTCTAACCAGGGGAAGACAACGCTCCACTGGTAGTACTGTTGATACAAATGGTATTTGATTGGGATAGGATGCAATCATGTGAGATTTTATCCAGACGGATGGTAAAATATGTCTTAGACATAAGTGGTAGAGGGAAGAGATTATTTATTAATATCCTCCACTCCACTCCACTCTAATCGCCTCGTAGCCATATAGCAAGGTCGAGTGAACTGTAGCTATGTATACTCGGATTACTCGGATTTTCTTTTTTATAGTGATTTCATGACTCCAAATTTTCACCAACCGTAAGAAGTCGGATTCTTACTGCAGTTGTTGGCACATTGTTTAGCATTACTTACGTTTTGTCATAACTGTGTGCAAAATGCATATTGTAGGGAGAAGGATTGGGCATATCGATCCATACTAATCCTAGTAACTTGATAGTTCTTATTTCGAAAGAACCTATTAGTCCATCATACATACAAATCTGTGCCAATTTATGCTGATAAAATACTTTTATGATTTCTCGAGCATCATCACATTTCATCATCCTCTAAAACGCTATCAACTGAATCAAAAACAACTCGATAAAACAAGTGACGATGAATTGCCGATATTTGCAGTAATGTTCGAACATCTTCCATATGCTGAATATCTTGTCAGCATCCAGGTCTGAATCCACTTAATTATGGCCTATTTCGCTGTCTCGTAATGCCATAAGTCTGCACGAGAGAAACGAAAATTTTCAGGAAATGTTTAGTAGGCTGATTCCTCAATAAGTCAAATTATGTATTCATAATTCTCTTTTGAGAATTGTGAAAGAATTGCTTTGCTCCACTCTATTATTTTTTTCATCCTTCCTATAATATATTCATTGAAACTGAGTTATGAAGAGCGATAGACAACATTCAAAGATTAACCCATCTTCTACGGGAGTTTTATTGGTATTAGGCTTCTGAAAAAGTGGCCCGCAGTTGCGAACATATGGCTAGATAAGCGGTTCAGCTACATATCAGGACAACATTTTGGCTGATCTCTGAAAAAAATTCGTTCCACTTTACTTTTTTCCTTGATCCTTACAGGGCGGTCCTTAACGGGCACACCACTGTCGTATCATTTCATTCTCCGTTCTCCGCATTATAATTGTTTTATAAAGAATATTTCAAAATAATTTCCTATTAACGTCTAATCTAACCGTCGTATCCATTTTCAAGGCCATATATTAGTGATATTTCAATTAGTGATTTCCGTCTTACCGCTTTGCTATCATTCTTCAAAGCATTCGAATAGCCATAGTCTACTGACATTCGTGCTTTGGCAGTTTTTTTTGGACAGTTGGACAGTTGCTTCCGATACCCAGATACCGGCGCATTTCCTACTAAAATATCCTAGCGTGGAATAAATAAATCTTTCCTGATATTCTAACTGAAGTACTTCAATAATTCGGCTTGAAATATGATTGCGAATTTTTTAGTATTAGTATTAGATAGTTGAAAGATGTAAACATTCTTGCGAGTTGTCGATTTTTTATGCAAATCTTGTCTTGAACCATAACAGATCTGATAAATGAAGATTACCAGTTTCAATGCAGCGATAGGCAGACCATCTAATGTAAAATTCTTCCAACAGACTAAAATATAATTAAACTGGTTGGAGTATTGATTGGCCTGAAAGTTCCACAAGATAGATTCTTCAATACTGGAAGAATTTATTAGTAATAAAAGGTTCACACTTTTCGTCAAAGCCAGAAATGTTCTCCATTAGCACAGATACTCCGATGCCATATTTGCCAATTAACGAGTTCACTACCATCATAACCTACGCATGCATTCCAGTCTTCCTCGATTGTGACTATATCATATTTCGATAGAGATGTTGTTAATAGCAGGATTTCCTCATAGGACTTATCCTTATAATGGTAATTTGCTCATAAAATAGGTGCATTGATGATCTTTCCTTTGAAGTATACGGTTTATCGACTTCGACTCAATCAGAGCACTAGATTTTTTAATCAATCGTTGCGCCATTTTATCCTGAATTTCATGAAACACCACAATGGTACCTTAATGCCTCTTTTCGGGACCAGGTTTGACGAATGCTTGAGGCCCAAAATGAGAAAAATGGATCTTGGACAATTAGGCATCGACACGATATTTAGAAAGAATATGGACAATGATCGCTTGATTTATAAGCGTTAAGTGTTCCACGCTATTACGGCTAATACCACACTATGCGCATAGAAAATCATTTCTCTTGACATTTCTCGTAGCTCGAAAGCAAGCCTCTTATTCTCAATCCTTTACTATATCTTTATGGATTGTCGCATATCGTTATATATCGCATGTACCAGCGGGCTAGGAGTGTTGTGCGAACCAGAACAGAACCTTTCACATTAGAGTCACTTGGGACAGAGTTACAAATGGATCTCCAGCAGCCACCCGAATTTTTCAAATCGTGACGTGATTTTTCAAATCCTCTAAAAGACAAGAGAAATAAAATTGTGAGAAAAAAGTAGAATAAAACAAAACAGAAAATAAAGAGAAAACTGGAAGAAAAGAAAACTATCACTATAAAACTATAAAAAAAACTATAAACTAAAACTATAAACTATAAGAAAACTATCACCCAAAACCCATAAAAACGCTGAATTTATTCTTTATTTATTTATATATATATATATAAAATTTATTTTTATTTATTTTTTGCTTAATTTTACAAATTTTACAAAAAAACTTGTTTGTAGTAAATTTTAAAAGTCCAGAAGTATTGTAACAGAACAACACAACGATCGTTCAAAAAAAAAAGTTTCTTTTCTGATATTTAATAAAAATTCATTCAGATGAACGATATTTACGAATGGGATATGTAGAAGACTATGGCGAAAGATTTTTTGCTATGTTCCACTGTATTTTCTTTGTATTTGCAGTGTCACTTATCGGTGGTTTCATCCTTACTTTATTCGGCATTTTCGCATGGTACATTCATGAGAATGGACTAATGCCTCTTCATAAACGCCAAAAACCAGGATATATGAGCGTCGAAATTTATTAGCTTTACTAGTAATTTGCTGGCAATAAACAGTTAAATAACGAATCTGTTTGCTCAATGTTTGGCCGATTTCATTTTTTAAATGAAATACAAAAAATTGCCTAAATTATTATTTGGCTTGAAAATTTTTGCAAATAATAACAAATATTAAATTGATATTTGTTAAGAAAAATGCCGATAAAGCCAAATTTTCAGCGCTTCATGGCAATCAAATTATGCAATTAAAAATCGACGATGACATTATAACTGAGACTTTCACCAGAGAATCAGTAGAGGTGCGGGTGACATCAATCTCAAATACATGGATATTTGATAATTTCATCAACTTTAAAACTTCATGTCTCGCCATGTCCCCAGCTTATCTTTGTTGCATTTCATTAAAAACTGGCGACAATTACCTTCTCTTTATCATTCTATCAACATTTTTCTTCCATCAAAATAAAATCGAATTATTTGAAGTTTTTTTCCTTGACATTCTGAAAAACATAACTTTCGAAATGTTTTATATGTTAGTGGCTTATGATGGTCTTCCAGTAGCATTTCATTGAGTTGATTGTGTCACTTCATTTTCGCTGCAGTTTTCGACATATTTGATACATTCAAAAAATTTGAAAAAAAATACGATAAAAATTCTAAAGTGGAATTCACTTCTTCATTAATTCTTTATTGTTCATGAAAACATAAATTAATCCATTGCTATTCAATGAAATGAAAAATGTAAAGGATAAAATTTAGAAAATTAAAATTCTTACTCCCTCTAAATGATAAATATATCAAACTGCATTTGATGCGAACAAAATACTGGACAAGCGCCGAGTTAAAATTTCGGAAAAAATAAAGCATCTTATTGAATAAATTAGCAGAATATTACCATAATTCTTCATCGACAATTTAAAAAATAGAAGAACATAACTTTCCGAGCAAAATTATTTGATTTGTTAGTCTGTTGATTAATTTATAAATTTCGACGCTAAGTATAAATAAATATATCGAAGAAATAGAGAATTTTCATATTATTACTTACCTATGCATCACTGAAGCCAACGGAAAAGCCATTATCGAAGCTAGTTGTTATCAAATTTATTGCGCTTAAATAAATTTGAGATTTTAAATAAATTTTCCTCAAAAAAAAAACAATGATGCACGGAAATTAATTAGTAACTTGAGATTTTTTTTTAATTTTACGCCTTTTTTTTGCAATTGTTTGCTTATTTTTCATTGAATCATTGATAAACCGCTTTTGCATCAATATGGTCCATTCCAAATTGAAATCATTCAATAATGAATTGGGTATACATGTAATAGCTCTCTGAAAGGCCAAAAATTAAATTAATCTCATAATCTCATTTTTTATTCTTAATTTTTTTTGACCGGATGTATTATACAATAAATTGATAATTTTCATGGCAAACAAATTATACAGTTAGAAATCGAGGATTAACATGCCATTATGACTAACAAGATGAGACTCCTTCACCAGAGAATCAGTAAAGACCAATTTCGAATAAATGGATGCCTGACAATTCCGTCAACTTTAACAAACTTCATGTCTAAGCCTATTTTTTAAAATTCAAATTAAGGATGAGGACGATAATATCTATATCAATTAAAATGGATTTTGTGCCATATTCAGATTTGGGCATTTCCCAGCATTTCTAATGCATCATAAAAATTACAAATTTAATTAAAAATTGTTTAAGGCCAAAAGCCAAAATTGTAAAAAACCGTGGAAACAATATACTTGATGCAATTTAGACAAAAAAGCGGGATCATTAACAAGCAAATATTCTGCATAATAAATCCAACATTTGTATTCTTGGTATCCTAAATCATTGACGTAGTTTTCCATCGCTTTAATAATTAGTTTCTTCGACGGTATTTTTCGTTTTTTTTCCATATCAATAAATAATCTGTGGACTTTGGCACTAAAAAAATTCAAAAAATTTTAAAACAAATTATGCAGAAACTTTCCGTAGTGAAAAACAATAAAATGATAAATGGATTTTAAATCCCCATTATTTTTCGGTAATCTACCATAGAAAAATATTGCCAGAGTCGTTGACTTTTCATTTCCTCTTTTTTTTTTCTTTTTCTATTTTCTTCCCAGTTACTCTATCTTACCGTTGCATTGTGCTCTATTCTGATATAGATTTCAGCTAATCATTTTCTGTTTTTACTAAAATTTAAATTTATCAATATAAAAACAATTTAAATAATAAAAATCTTTCAAAAATAAGAAAATGGAGAAAAACAAGTGGAAACAAGTCTATTCCTCTATTCACCTCATTTCTCTCTAGGTTATATTTTCTCAAAACTTGAAAGATCCACCATAGATTCCTTGCGCTTTTTCTTAATATTTAAATGCCTGCCCACATTTTACTGCTTTTTCAATGAAAACTGAACTTCATTATGGACAAATAACCGAAATAAACTGGTTCAACATACAATGAATTCACAGCAAAAAATGGTACCTGTTAGGCGGATGTGAACAAAATGAGAAGTAATAGTCGCGGTAAGCGTTAGGATTCGAACTCGTTGCTTTAACATATCTATTTTTTATTGTATTAACTGATATATTTAAATATATTTTTAAGGAAATAAAATTGGAAATTTATAGAATTGAAGGCTTCGAAATTACTTTAACTACAACTCTTCTAATTTTATTCCTTTGATATAATTATAATAATAATTTTCCTAAAAGTTGATCAAAATTTATCAAACTACCTCAAGCGCAAACACTTTAGCTCAGAAGAAGTATCAACAGATGAAATAAGAATCGCTCTATCGAAGAGCGAATCCACAACTAAAGGACAATTTGCAATGGCCCAATCAATCGCAACTTTATAAATCTCCAACATTCCGTCATCTTCTACCTAAAAATAATAAAGTGTTCGCGACATAATATACATAATAATATATTATCATTTTCATTCATTTATAATATGTACAATATGTTCCAATGTAAATAGCATTTTCGATTCCATAAATTTTTTTTTAACCTGATTATATTACCATCAATATGCTCGCATTAAATTTAATAAAGAAAGGAAATACCAAATAACTATTTGCAACACACTTGTTACTTTCCCTAATGATATCGTCATAACGATTATGATCAATATCACTGCTATCAATATGTGTGAATATATATGTGCCCCAAAAATGGCGGCGCAAAATTTATGTGAGGCAATTTTAAAAGTTTAATTCATCGGTAACATAAATTACCTTGATCACCTCAGACTCTTCTGCACTTTCTTATACCTCCTTAACACTCTCCAAAACTTCTTTCTTCACCATTCAGAGATAAAATTACAGATAAAATTTTTGCCATAAGCCATCCTCTTTAATTCTTTTAAATCACTTTAATCCTTTCAAAAGTAACTTTATTTTAATTTATTCCTTATGCCCCATCAAATCAAAAAAAATAAAAATTGTCCAGAAAAGAAATAATAAGAAAGAAAACGATGAATGATTTTAAAAATAAAACGATTTTAGGAAATCGCAACAGTGCAATCTGAAACAGTGCTTAAAGAAATATAGGATGGTTTGAAACCTACAGTAATGGCATTTTTACAAGTTACTACGAAAGAATAAAAACCTAATAACTTTACTAAATAAAAGTGTAAAAGAGAAAAAAGCCTAACAAATTGCAAAGCCTCATTGAAGATATCCTTTATTTTATCAATATTGGCATTCTCTGTTTGAATTGCATAATGAATTTTCTCAAGCCAAAATTTAGATGAGGATGGATTTTTAAGCAAGGCAGCATCCAGAATTTTCTGCTTTCTCTCTTCATCTTTTTCTGCATCCAACAATCGTTCAAAATCTTCCGATTTTGCCCATCCAGCCGAATAAATCTTTTCAAATAATTCATGCAGCTTAGACAAAGCATAAACATCTAAAAACTTAATAAATAATTACGCATCATGCAGTGATAATGAGATTTGAAAAAGCTCAAAAAATGCTCGAATATGATTTAAATAAGTTAAAAAAAAGTTCGATTATACCTCCAGCTGTGCCACGCTTTTCGCAAATTTCTATATATTTACGATACATTTTTTCCGTAGGGAAAGCGTTACAAGCCTCATCCAATAAGTCATAACAATCATCCTGAATAATAAGTGTTTTTAGTAGATAATTTTAAATAAAAAGAATAAAAATGATAAAAAATAGGTAAGTTTTATCACATTAGAGAAGCGAAATGTATTTCATAATATTTACGTATATGAAAAATTTCACCACCATGAATTGAAGCAAACATTAAATCAAAAAAAATTGAATTACACTAACCTTATAACATTAGAGCAATTCCAAACAACAAAGAATTTAAATAAAAATATAAACATACATAATCAGACTGACGTTCGTATCTGGCTATCCAACTTTCTTCACATATGCCATCTGGCAACCATAACTTATTATATAAATAATTCTCAAGTTTTGAAGTAAATTTTCCAAAGCTTCTTGCCTTTCGCCACAATTCATAAATAATCACTGAAACATAATAGCAATAGATAAATTAAATTTTTGCATTTGAAAATTTGCAATTTGCAACAACTTATAGCCATTAAATATTAGATTCATTAGTGGAACAAATTATTACAGAACAGATCCCAATCGTCATTTAATAAACTATGAAAATAAACAGATTAGTAATGACAACTATTCACATACCATTTACATCTTTATAAGATCTTATTGCTTGATTTGCCACTAATTCAGCGATTTTCAAACTGAGTACAGGATCATCCATCTCATTATTTTTTTCATTTGCATTAGACATAGTATTCTGATCACCCTTTTGAAGTGAATCAGCTATTGCATCTTTGCTTTTCAGCAAAATTTCTCTTCGTTTCGACATCCTTGAAGAAAGAAATTTATGGTTGAAAAAATACTCGACAATGCATTTCGCAAAAAAAAGGGAGATAAGCATTCTTAACAAGCCGAAGAAGAAAAAGGATGAAGAAAATGGAAAACCATACTTTTTTGCGTTCCGAATCTCGATTTCAAAAAGAGTTGTCCATAAAGATATAATTTCTGGAAAACGCCGTAAACAAAGTTGTAAATGAAGGCGTGCATTTTCAATACTACCATTTTCTTTAAATTCCCATAGTGCTGCTTCCTCCCGAAGCTTGAAATCAGATTCAAATATCTAAAAAAAGATAGGATTTCCCTCAAATTCACTTCATAAAATATATTTTTAATGATAATGATGAATGAAATGATAAATACTTGTGCTATTTGCAGAAATGCTTTACTGCACCGATTCCTTAACCGATTTTTCCTTAAAAAGTCTAATCGCTTCCTCCAAATTTCCATATTACCCTGAAAGAACATAGTAATACGAAAAAAGTGCACAGTTCAAAAATAGATTCTGAAGGAACTGAAATAATTTCTACAAAAAACAATGTAAACAATGTAAACAATGTAAACCTCAAAAAGAAAATTCTAGGTAAAAAATGATCGAGTAATACCTTGCTTCAGTTAAGATTAAACATCATGGATTTCCCCCGGGACTACGTAAATTTGTCACTAAAAATAAATTCTGAACGGTGGCAACCCGTTCGTGCTTAAATTTCCCTGGGCCGAAAGAATCCCACTGCAATAATTTCTAACCATGCCAGCCAGCCAAACCATAAGATTATAAGTAATGTTGGAAGAAGAAATAACCTTGAATCTTTCACTACAAATCCTATACAAATCAGCAATCTTCGATAATAAATTATTTTCGATTTCCTTACGCTTACCAAAATAATTCAGCTTTTTTCTTCTTATTTTTATAAGCTTAAGAGCTGATTGCAAATAATCTGCATAAAGCAAGAAATCGGCATATACTTTCACCTAAAAAATGAGAAAAAATTTTAATATTCCATGAATTAATGAAAATGAACGATAATGCTTAAAATCTATGATTATTAAGATAAATGATTTCAATTTAAAGAACAGTCCTATCCGTCAGGACTGCGTCCTTTCCCTCACAATATTCAACTATGCGATAGACTGGATAATGGACACTGCTTGTCGGCACTCAAGAGGCGTCCGAATTAGTACAGAGCATCGTATAAAAGATCTTGAATTTGCTGATGATGTAGTCCTTTTTGCTGACAGTTATAACGAAATGCAAGTAATGTTAAATAACGTGTCAGAAAGTGCAGCAAGAATCGGACTTAGGATCAATGTAAATAAAATCTTTTCGTTTATGTGCAAGAAGCTGATAAAATGCCTTTTTTTGTAAATTCATTGCCGGTTGAGGAAATAATAGCTAAAATGAAAAATTGCCGTAATATATTGCCGTTCGATCTTACTATGTGGTTCTGAGACATGGCCAATGAAAGTGGAGGATATTAAGAAATTATCTGCCTTTGACCACTCTTGTCTAAGGTATATTTTACGGGTTCGCCGAATGGATAAAATCTCACAAGATCGCATCCACCTTCGTTCAAATACCACTTGCATAAATAATGTTATCACAGAGCGCCGCCTTCGCTGATAGGGCACATTCTCCGTCGTCCACCACAGGAGTTAACGCATATTTCGTTATTTGCTAAACCCTGTGATGGATGGCGTCAAAAGCGAGATGGGCCAATCAAGACCTGGACTGATACGATGAGAAAAGATTTTGAACGTATAGTGGACCAGCAATATGGATTTAGACGATGGAAAAAAGAATGGATTCAATTACTGACTGCGCCGCTTGGAAGCGTCTTATCCTTGTAGCCGTTGAAGCCAGCCTAACCAGTAATGGTGAGAGCTGTTAGAACAAGAAGAAGAATTTAAAGAGCAAATATCTCGAAAAAGAATGGCTCAGTGGGCGTAGGCTGTTGCTCTGATTTCTGAGCGCAGATGCTAGGGTTTTTTCAGGAAGAAGTCTGAGTTTGAAAAATCAGATGCTGAGCATCTCGCTTGCAGGTCTATCGACAACTCATTTCCTGGTAAAATTTGCCCGGTTGAAATTACAATTTGTAATTTAATTTGTAATTAACTACAATTTGTAATTTAATTATAACATGAAATTAAAATTTTGATAATCTACTGAGCTCCAGGATAAATGACAACTAACTTACTGTTTTATGAATTCGATATTCATAGTTGCGACATCGCTTTATGAATTCATTCACTTCGCCTTTGGAAAACAGCGCTCCATAATGCAAAACTTCAAAAAAAGGTAATAATCGCTCTAAGTTTTCCTCAACGAATTCTGCCATATCTTAAACAACAAAAAAATAAAAAAAATAATCTTTCGATAAAAATAATAACAAGAAGAAATAAGAATTTGACGGGAAAAGTATCAGCCGAGTAGACTATCGAGCGCCAAGCTCGTGACGTTCTCGCGACAGGGTGCAAGCCAAGTCATTTGAAAACCTGGGTGGTGCCCAGGTAAGATTTTACTTTGGTCCCCAAATGACAAGTCCAGCGAGGATTTCTCACCGAAGAGACTACCAGAACCAGCTTAAACCAGAAATACTGAACCATTTTGCTTCATTTCTGATTCACTTATGCCATATGAAATTTTCTGATAAAAATCTCTGAATTTGTATACGAATTCCGAGTGCTGTTTTTAATCATTTAACTCGATATTCCCATTGAAAATATAACAAAAAAGGAATAAAACTATGGAATATTCAAAAATAACACCAACTTAACGAGCAAATGTTTTTATAATCACCCAAAACATTTTGGCCAATGAAGGGATAACTAAGCTGCAAATTAGTGCTTGGAATAGCTTAGAGGAAATAACGCGGACGTAGCCCATAGGGTTGAATCGAGATCATAAGGAATTAAGAACGTTGCGTGAATTCGTAATTGAAATTGTTTTCATTCTCTCGATGCTTATTGTTTTTAGTTGGAATGATGTGGATGATTTCTGGGACCAGTAGGTCACTCTGGGGATATTGAGTTCCTCTATTCTGGGTCCAGTGACTTAGGCTAATCACTCGTGGATAATGGTGGAGGTGGATGCAATTACCAAATAACATATTCGACTCAGAAATTTTAGAATTTACTTCATTTATTTTAATATATGAATCTAATAATTCTAAAAAAGTGTAATGAAATTAATTTTTCGACTCCTCAAAGTATCAATTGAATTGTGAATAAGTTTTGGGCCGCAAAACTAATCCGGCCGAGCGGCAGAATATTAGATACTGAGAATTCAAACAAATTTCAAATCTAAAAAATTCCACTTTTTTAGTGGAGTTGTTGGGTTTTGGTTATGTCGATTTCGTGCGAGGTGGGGCTGTTTTCTTCATGAATTTTTTGTCTCTCCTAATGCTTCATTGTAGTTAAAGCAAATAATGTCGTTTTTGGCATTTTTATTTGAAAATTTACCAGTCGACGATTAATAATTTGTTGATAATTAATAATTCAGTATTTGTCGGATTTTGCGAAGTTTTTATCTTCAGAAATTTATTTCAAATAGAATTTAAAATTCGTTGCCTTATAAATTAGTTTCAGTTTCGATGAAATTACTTAGTCAATTGAATTTCGTCGATTTCTTCGATTTACAGGTTATAATCAATTTTAAAGTTTTTTTGCCACTTTTTGATATGTAACTGATAGCCATGGATTCTCTCATGGAGACAACACGCGCATTAGAATACATCGCTGGTGCCCGCATGGATTCTCTCATGGAGACAACACGCACATTAGAATATATCGCTGGTGCCCGCATGGATTCTCTCATGGAGACAACACGTGCATTAGAATATATCGCTGGTGCCCGCATGGATTCTCTCACGGAGACAACACGCGCATTAGAATATATCGCTGGTGCCCGCATGGATTCTCTCATGGAGACAACACGTGCATTAGAATATATCGCTGGTGCCCGCATGGATTCTCTCATGGAGACAACACGCGCATTAGAATATATCGCTGGTGCCCACATGGATTCTCTCATGGAGACAACACGCGCATTAGAATATATCGCTGGTGCCCGCATGATCAGAATGAATTTGGAAAGATCGAAATAATTTAATTTTCTTGCGTTTACAACTTTAGTTTAACTTCATAGCTTAGAAAGCTAGTAAAATTAGTAAAATCTTTCAGTACAATTAGTAAAATCTTCAGTAAAATCTTACAAATGACTTTAACAGTGTGCGTTGTATAACGGTGGAACTTTTTTTCACACTCTTTGCTTCCTTTGCTCGTAAAAGTGCATATTTTTTACCAAATAATTTTATTCTAATCCCTTCATAAAAGTAATTCTTTTGGGAAATTTATTATTTTATACTCTTTTATTTCGTTTATATCATTTTCATCCGCTCATCCAACTTTCTAATCGTTGAAATTCATAAAACTCTTCATAAATTCATAAAAAATTCTGTTGTAGATGTGGATTTTTACGACAAATAGATGGTATATTGCAAGGAAAAATTCGCTGGTATTTTCTACTTTTAGCCTTATTTACACGTTATGATATCTTTTTGCTCGAGATGTTTTTCGTTGACAGCACATCGATTTGGCAATCGAATCAAACAAACACCTCAACGAATCATTCTCTGCACCTCTGTAAATTTTTCGTACTTATTGTATTTGCTTTTGTTTTCATTCATCAGCTTTAATATTAAATGTATTAAAAGAATTTCGAAGTAAAATGAATGAAATAAAATGAATTTATTCTTAGTTAGAGCATATAATAACCCTTCTCTTTGGTGTTTTTATAATTTATTATTTAATTCTTTCTTGGTGAAATATTTCCCTTCATTTTTTTACTTTCTCTCCTCATTATGTTTCAATTTTTAGAGCTTTTCATCCGATGTTCGTTTAGACAATTTAATTCGTGATCTTAAAAAGGCATTAACAACGCGAGAAAATATACAAGTGGAATTTTTTTTATTTCGATTTTTTTTCAGTCATTTCGACTCCATTTAAATATTTTCTACATTCTTTTAAATTTTTTAATTTTTAATTTTATTTTATATATTTTATTTTATTTTATTTCAGCAACCAGAGAAATTGCCTGGGCCAGAAAAGAAAATAATTCGACTGACGAGAACAGAAATAATGTATGAACTTTGCGACCTAGGAATTAATTTTGAATTGACGGTAAATTTTTCTTCTATAGTTTAAACTTTTAAATTAAAGGAATTAAAGGATACTACTTTTTATCTATGCAACTTGTGAAATAAATCGAAATAATGGAAAAATTTTAATACTTGAGATTAACTTTAATCTTTTATGATGTTGGTAGTTTTTTTTTTTTTTCAATTTGGCTTTTTAGTGGTCATTTTCATGAACAGAATGTCTTAGTTTTAATATTTGATATATGATCGGAGATATTTCCTCATATTTTTTTTTGTAAAGTTTTCCACATCTCAGTATTTTTGTTTTATTTCTTATTTTTTTTACGTTCAATGAATTTTCTTAGTGGTGCTGTAAAGTAAAGCTGGTTTATTACGTAAGAGCACTTTAGAAATTGGTTTAGTTATTTCCAGATAATAATCGGTTTTATGAGAATCCGAATTAAGCATTCTTCAATCCTGTATATTGATTTTTTGCATCTGAATTAATTGCAATATTTCGACCTTTTAGTTTAATGCTATCGGAAAAAATTATAAATGAAATGAAGTTGTGGTTTATATGCGTCTATAATATTGATAATAAGCACATTAAAATGTCCACTGAAATGACTTTGTTCCGTTTCTGAAAAATTCATTCGTTTCGAAAACGCTGATATTTCCTCAGGAACTGATTTTTAGTTTGCCATTTCTTTCGATTTCATTCCTTCATATTTGAAATGTAATTCTGTTTGGAATTTTGAATTGTATTTTTTCATTTATTATTTTTATTTTTTTTGCCGCTTGCAGATTTTTTATTCATTTCGAGTTAGTCTTAATTTAATATATCAAAATATATTATATAATATATATATATATATATTATATAATATAATATATATGTATATATATTATAATAATAATAAAACGAAACAAATAACGAATTTTTATTTCAGCCATATTTGGGTTATATTCGAGTTACGTGCACGAATTGCAACTCAAATTACGCACACATTTCACCACTTGATGCATCAATTGTTTGCACAGTTTGTAGTAGTATGAGTTCATTTTCCGATTTCAAGGTTATTTTTATCATAGCATTCAGCGGAAAGATTGTTTGATGCAAAATTTTCAAAAAGCTTTATTTTTGAAAATGAGAATTTTTTGAAATAGACTGAAGTATTAATGAGAAATTATTAATGTAAAAATGGAAATCATTTTAATTTTTCTTCTTTAATTTTCAAAAATTATTCAAGATGTTTCTCTTTTTGAATTGTAGCAGAATTTCATCTCTGATAATGAGTGCTTCATAACTGATAAATAAAATAAAATTAATGTGGTAAATATAAATATAAACATGAAATCTGTAGCTATATTTGTATGGACTTTACTGGTGTGGTTTATGAAATTTTTGGAGTGATTACTTATTTTAATCGTCTATGTGAACATACTATTGGCTTCATTAAATTAATTTTATTAGTTTCTTATAGAACTACTTTCTTATAGACTACTTGGTAATGCGAATGTTTATAATTTCTAATGATAATGAAATCAAATGGAAAAACTGTGTAAGTTCTTATCATAAAGATATAAGATATATTTTAAATTCACTTGTTCAGCGAAAATCTAAGAAATACATATTCCATCATTATCTCATCTCATAATTCAGTCTGCAGCGAATTAGATTTTACATTTTATTAGTTTCTTTTGGATCATTGGACATTTTGATTCGAAATCTATTTCATTATTTACTTTATTTATTCCATTTCAATCTTTTTAATTCAATAATTGACCTCCATTAATAACATCGTTTGCGCTGGTTAGACTACATTATCTCCATCCTTCACACTAGCCGCATTCGCTAAGCTCTGTGGTCTTTGATGTCAAAGGAGAAGGCAAAGCAAAGCGTGGATTGATGCGATTAATAAAAATTTTGAAGACGTTGATAGCTCATGGGCGGCAGAAAAGGAGTGATTTCCTTCATTTTCAAATATGATATCAAATCGAGGGGCTTGGATTCGCTTCATTCTTATAGCCAGCATAGCGTAGTTAATATTAAAAATTTTTGTTTCAAATTTTATCGTTGTTTTAAAGAAATAACTAGTTTTCTTCTGTTGTAAAGTTACAGAAAAGCAGAAAATAAATTCTAAAAGTGCTATTAAGATTTGCAAGACTTGTAAAAAAATTGAATTCAACTGTCTTCATAAACAAGTGATATAAGTGGTATAATCAGGTTTTAAGGAATTAATTTTTTAGTATCCAACTTTCAGAGATCTATAACCAAAAGAAGGTGATATTGTACAAGAAAGATTTAAATTTCCATCGAAAGGCTCAGATTTGCTTGTCTCAAATTTATTCTCTGTTCTATCGAATAATTTTTTTTCTTTGGTCAACGAGGTGGATTGTTTTCTCTTTAATTAGATTATTAGTTTTTTTGAACTATCAATTCGGACTGATCTTATCTATAGTTTAAGAGATTGAGAATCCCAAAAAATTTGCTTTACTTTAAATATTTTTATTCTCGCTTATTTTTTTACTTCTCTTTAATCGACAGTAGTTACATAACCAAACTGGAATACATGAAATGGCTTCTTGGATCGAAAATCACCAGCTAAGCGCAATTAAGCAGAATTTTAATAGTAAATTATTCATGATGGAATACGTGGCACAAAGTGGGGGCAGAATCTAACTGCTTTTTTTGCTGACAGCCGATACATTTATCCCTCTATTTTGGTTTTTTTTTCCAATTGTATTTTATGATTGTGGTAAATTGGCCGTATTAAATTGTCAAAATAATTTGAATATTTTTTCAAGGAAAAAGCTATCCATATCCATTCATGTTAGATGGTTGGTTAAATAGAGAATGGTGCTATTTTATAATTCTCAATTATTTGCTAGGATGGCTCAGTTGGCCGAGAAATTAGCAATTCGAGATTAATTCGAGATTAATATGAATTTTTAATAATAATACTATAATGCTATATTATACTATGTTTTAAACTGTTTGAAATTACAAAAAATTATTAAAGAATTTATGTTTCACAAAGGTCGAGTTCTCTTAGCGCCAAAGTTTTGTTCTTTTTTTGGTGTGACCAGTCTCTTAGGTTGGGGACCTAGCTAGGGATTTAAATAAGTCCTGTGGGTTTATATTAGGTTTTTTATTTTATCCTAGTATTTCTTGGTTTTTTTTAAAACTTATTAAGGCTTTGCTATTCGAAATGCTCAATTGAATGCTTTAATTTTTACAATAAATATCAATTAAAACTGTTTGATTTCCTATTCCATTAAAAATATGAATTTTAATGATATTATTATAATAAATTTAATTGCGAATTTTTTCGTTTTTTGCTTTATTTCTTCTTTGTAACAATGGTGAAGTAAATAGTATTCATAAGAATAATTTAGTAAAAATTTGGGGAAATAATTGATATATTTAGCAGTTTAGCGATTGGAACGGATCGCGCTAAATTATTTCTTTAGAAAATGTCCTAGAGTTAAGGCTGTAATTAGGCAATATTATTTATTATTATGCCGTACATATTTTCCTTTCATCGGAAGTCAACGCCTTGCAATTTATTTCTCGTTAAACGAAATCTCACATTCGAAATTTATATTTCTTTCCTCCATTATTCACGGTGGTTTTTAGGCATTTTAATTTATAGCGAAAAATAATGTCCCTGCTTAATTATTTGAAATGAAAGTTCGAGATGGAAATTATATGAAATTATAGATTGAACTAAAAGGTCCAATTGAATTGATCAGAATTATCTGGTTGCTTTTGCTTATCCATTTTCAAATCTCTCCTCTTTTCAAATCTAATGTTTTTTCTTTTTTTTAAAAAGATTTCATTCTCAGAAGTGGCGATTGTTGTTGTAGAATAAGAGTTAAACAAAATGCTGAAGGCGGTTATGGTAAATAGGAGAGTTTTGAGGCTGTAAATGCCCACAAAGGATTTTTCAGTCAAAATGGATTGG